TTTCCATGTCTCGGCTGCTGTAAATAGTGCTGCTGTGAACACTGGGGTGCAGGTGTCATTTTGAAGTAGGGTTCCTATGCCCAGGAGCGGGATTCCTGGGTCACATGGTAAGTCTATTCCTAGACCGCAAATCTATCTTTTTCTTTTCCTGAGTTTGTTTGTTCAAGTGTGAACTGACCCTCAACACTGTGTTAGTTCCCGTTCCACAACAGAGTGATCCGGTGTTTCTAAACACTGGTCCACTTTCTAACCTGCCCAGCTATAACCATTGCTCACATGTTCCTGGGTTTCTGAAATGACAATTTTGTTGGTGAAGGATCACCCCGAAACTGGTTGATTTAATTTCACCTGCCTCATTCACCAACTTCAATCCCCATCGATTAATTAGACAGACACCTAGTGTTCCTCCAGATCAGTAAAAATCCATCTGTGGGACTACGTCAGGGCACGAATGTCTGTAGTCAGCATACATGTCTGCTTCAAACATTGAAAAAAAACTCTCTCCAAGCTGTGTTTCTAACTCAGGGCTTTTCTTTCACTCCTAACCTACGGTTTGAAATGAATTAACAACTCTTGATACCAAATTTGATCCAACTTAAATACATTATGCATGAAATGCATGTCCGTGCCTCCATTCCTCCGAAAATATTTTGGGATTGGAAATTGTACATTGACTCCAAATGTTTACCCAAATGCATTCATTTGTAGCTGAAAGATTTTTCGTGGCCAGAAAACAAACCAAAAAATTTTTTGGAAATAGACCAGTCCACCCACTGCAAGAGCGCTGTGTTGGCGTGATAAGGCATTCAGGTGTTTGCAAAACATTTTTATCCTTTCAGAGACGGGAAAATTGGCAACTGTACCCGCGTGACATTTTGCACATGGAAATGTTCTCAGTTGAGAGCCTCCTGGATGGAGACTCTGGATTGAGATTCTAATGCCTCTCCTGATGGCGCTGGGCTGACCCTTCCTAAACCCCCTGCCAAGATGTCACGGATTCCGTGGGACGCCCTCCGGTGTCTCCAGAAGCTGCTAATCACCTAGGTTTCTCCTATGTGCATTCCCCTTCGAACAGCGGTCCATCCTTTCAGTAAGAGTCTTTTTTCCTCCAAGGTGTGCATTCCACCCAGTTTTCCCTTCCCTCCCCGGGGGGCGCCTGGGTGTGTCGTGGCCGTGTTGGGAGACGTGAGGGAGAAAGTTCGAACCGGGCTGCACGGAGCTCCCGCCTGGGGCTGGACGGAGCCGCTGGCCAGCTGCGCAGGGAAGCCGTGCAGGTGCTGGGCCCCGGGGCTGCGTGTGTCCACATAATACAGTGGGGACGTTGGAGGGAGGTTCAACACTGCCTGGAAAGGTTCTCTGAGGCCAAGCAGGCAGTTTCATGTGAGCTTCCCCGAGGGCTACATGCCAGTGTGTACAAGGAAATCAAAGCAAAAAGTCAGGGGACTGAGGCCGGCCTCACACTGGGTCCACCTTCATCCAAAACTCACAGAGGTGCTCCATCCTCAACCAGGAGCGTGCATGGGCCACCCGGATCCCACACAGTGTCTCAGCTCCTTTGTAAATCTCTTCTCCCTGGTGGAAAATGTGTCATTTTTTTAAAAGTCTATAACACGTTTATCTGGTCAAACAGATGCATAAGCTAATTATGTGAAAAAAATGCTGTCCAAACCGAAATTGTTTTCAGTTGGACACACATAGGGAAGGTTTGTGCAAGATTACCAAAAAAAAAAAAGGCACTTAGTTTGATATGGGAATTCAGACGTCCTACCAGACAGCAGGAAAATAAATTCAGAAAAAGAAATTGCATTTGCACGGTTCTGAGTCGCGCGGGCTCTGTGCTTAGGAGGAAGCCGCGGTAACACACGCGCTAAGTGCGGCATTTTAGAAAGAGACGGATGTTCCTCTGTTCGATGTTTGAACGTATGTTGATTTTGCAGCTGTTGCAAACAACGTCTGCAAATTTAAAAAAGAAGTGTGTATTCATAGAACGCAGGTCTAAGAGTCCTGTGCGCTGCGTGGTCCTACGTGAGGACGTAGCAGAGCGAGAAACGGCCAAACTACATCCTGGTTCAGCAGTGGCTTCCACACGCCTTTCACGTGACCCGAGAGAGTCCTCATTCTCTCTGTCCTGGAGTTGAGTGCTTTCCAAACTGTGCTGAGCAATTCCTTCTAACATAGGATGCTCACTGCAATGCCCGCATGGAGTAGACAGGGGATCTGGGACCCAGGGAGTAGACAGGGGATCTGGGACCCAAACATGTGGGAAACGCTGGGTGACAAAAAGTGAGATGTTTGGGGGAGTGAGGGAAGGTAGAGCTCAGGGGTAGAGTGTGTGCTTAGTATGCACGAGGTCCTGGGTTCAATCGCCAGTTCCTCTGTCAAACAGAAAAAGGAGAGGAGCTGTTTGTTTCAGCAAGATTTCTCTGTCTTTTATTTGCGCACATGCAACAAAATCTTTCCCGGAGAGGAGAGACGGTTGTGTCATCGTCAGCTTTCCCCGGTGGGCTTCCCTGCAGCACTGTTTCTGGCTGGGGTCACTTATGAGCATATTTCAGTGCAATAGGTTTGCAGGGAATAGATGCACTAAAATCCTAAGCTCCTTACATGGTACATGAATAATACCATTCATGTAGCATTAGCTAGGTGCTCCTGCAACAGCACTGGACAGGAGGGCACTGCCTTCTCCAAGGAGGTGGAGGCAGAGCATGGACAGGCCATGTGCCCTCAGTTGAAAAAATAAGATTTATATTAGATAGATAGATTAGGTAGATAGATAGATAGATAGATAGATAGATAAAGATGGATGGATAGATGGATAGATACATACATAGATAAATAGACAAATAGATAACAGATACAAATTGATTAGATAGATGGACAGATAGATAAAAGATAGATGATGGATGGATGGATGGATAGATAGAGATGATAGGTAGGTAATAGACAGATTAATACTTACTTTTTCACATGTTACAGCTTGAGTTAACAAAATTGGCATTTTTCCTTAGCCAATGGCTTTCTCTTCTTCCTCCAAGAAAATCTTGCCTCTAGAGCAAGGTCTTTACAACTTTCCAGAAGTTCCTTCCTTCCTTCTTTCCTTCCTTCCTTCCTTCTTTCCTCCCTTCCTTCTTTCCTTCCGTCTTTCCTTCATCTTAAATGGGTTCAATGACACGAGGTCTATACCTTTTGCAAAGATTAAAAACCACCATGCTCCAGGGAAGACGGCCAATGTTTAACAATAACTATGAATGGAGTGTACCATTTAAAACCTGTGAATCACTCTGTTAGACACCTGAATCGTATACACGTCTGTGTATAAAGTGTTCTTCAATTAAAAAAAAATATCCACCATGCTGAAAAAGCACCTTCAACCTTGTAGCTCAAAGTGGGGTCCCTGGACGAGCAAGTGGCATCAGCCGGTTAGCAACGTGGTGTCGCGGCCTCAGCCTGACCAGCGGAAGCTGACTCTATGGTTCGCGAGACCCCGTGGTGATTGACTTTAGAAGGGTGCTTGTACTGACCCGCCATATTTTAAGACGTGGACCAGTGTCCCGGGGCTGTTGTAACAAGATGCCACCAACTTCGTGGCTTAAAACAGAGCCGGTGTCTTCTCTTGTGGTTCTAGGGAAATCTCTGTTTATGTCCTCTGCCCATTTTTTGATGGAGTGGTTTATTTTTTGGATATTGAGTTGAAGGAGCTGTATGTGTATTTTGGAAATTAAGCCCTTGGCGGGCGCATCGTTAGCAAATATTTTCCCTGAATCTGTACGTTGTCTTATCACTTTGCTGGCAGTCTCCTTTGCTGTGGAAAAAAACATAAAGGTTTGATTAAGTCCCTCTCATTTGTTTATTTTTGTTTTTGTTTCTTTTGACTTGGGAGACTGCCTAAGACAACATTGGTATGATTTATGTCAATGCTTTGCCTATGTTTTCCTCTACGAGATTCATGGTGTCTTGTCTTACGTTTAAGTCCTGAAGCCATTTTGAGGGTCCTTTTGTGTGTGGTGTGTGTTCTAACGTCACGGATTTACAGGCAGCTGTCCAGCTTTCCAGACACCGAAGAGGCTGTCTTTTCTCCATTGAATATTGTCGCCTCCTTTGGGGAAGGTTGAGTGACCATAGGCATGTGGGTTTATTTCTGTGCTGTCCATTCTGCTCCACTGATCTTTGTGTCTCGTTGTGTGCCAGTACCATGCTGTTTTGATGACCGTCGCTCTGTAGTATTGTCTGAAGTCTGGGAGGGTTATGCCTCCAGCTTCATTCTTTTTCTTCAGCATTGCTTTGGCAGTTCCGGGTCATTTGTGGGTCCATACGAATCTCTTACAGTTCTTGAGGTCAGAAGTTAGAATTCAGCACTAACTGAAGCGTTGCCAGGGCTGGTTCCTTTGGGAGGCTCAAGTGGAGAATCCATCCCCTTCTCTCGTCCAGCGTCTAGTGTTCTCTGCATCCTTGGCCCCTGGTCCCCTTCCTCCATCTTCAAAGCCAGCAATGCAGCATCTTGACTCCTTTCAGACCTGTTTCCATCATCACGTCTCCTTGTCTGACTCTGACCCTCCCTCTGGTCTTTATAAGAAACCTGTCATGACACTGAGCCCAGCCGGATAATCCGGGGTCCTCTCCCCACTGAAGAACTCGAACCACACTTACAAAGCCCTTGCCTCATTCACAGGTTCTAAGGGTGAGGATGAGCACATTTGAAGGACATTATTCTGTCCCCCCACATGAGGATCAGGGTGTGGACATCTTTGGGGACATTATTCTATCTGCCACTAGAGGAAGTATTAAAAAAAAAACGTTTCTTAGCCAGAAAGACAAAGAAAAATACCATATGATATTACTCATATGTGGAACGTGAAAAAAAAAAAAGACCCAAATGAACTTATTTACAAAAGAGAGACAGACTCACAGACACAGAAAATAAACGTATGGTTACCAGAGGGGAAAGGGGGTGGGAAGGGATAAATTGGGGCTTCAGATGAGATAATGATGGCCTTGGGGTGGCCTTCCAAAGCCTGCCTGACTAGCTTCACAAGAAAGCAACCTAATTTTACCCAATTCTTTCCCTTCTGTTTCTAGGCTCACTGTGCGTCCCAGAGTGTCTTGGGTGTGAATCCCCTGGGATCCGCTAACGGATGGGTTCTGGTTCAGCCGGGCTGGGTGGGACCTGAGGTTCTGCACCCCTAACCAGCTCGTGGGCAATACGGGTGCTGTCGGTCCGTGGACCCCTCCACGCTGTGGTTACTTGTGTCCACGGGCAGCAGAGAACACCCCCCCCAGGCTGGGAATGGTAGCAAAGGGAGACCCAGTGGCTGCTAAGTTTGCTGAACTTGGGAGATGGACGTGCAGCTTGGGAAAGCCCTGTCCATGACCTTTAGGTGCGAGTGACCACCACCGGACAATTTACTGCAGAGAACAGGATGTGGGCACCCGAGGTGGGTCAGCTCGGAGGCACCACTGAGACCACACACAACCAACGGGGCTGCCGTGGTGAGGACTGTATCGCCTCCCTTCATGCCTGTGTGCGGCTTGCACCAGAGGAAGACACAGCCTATCTGACAAAGGGCATTTAGATCAAGCCAGAGGGCAAAACTTACCAACGGGGGGCGGGGGGTTAGTAAATAATGGGGGAGGAGGAAGAAAGGAACTTTTAGGAAGTCCAAAAACCCATCAGTTTTAAGGAGTAATGTTACTGTGTTGTGTACACAGCCAACAAAGATGGAAAGGAATAAAAACAATTTTTCCATTAAATTCTGAAAGTGAGTCTTGCTCCTTTTAGAACTCAGTGTTCAAAGAGGTGGTGTCTGCATGGGGAGCTCCCTGTGGACTTTCGTGGGCAAAACCCAAAGCTCCATCCTGCACAGAGGAAAGTGCATTTCCCTGGTTGAGGGGGGTGGGGGAGCTCCAGGTCCCGCTTTAAGAAGGGAAGCCTGGAAACGGGTGTCTGCCCACGTTTGCAGGCGATGCTGGAATTTCCCGGGATCTGGATGCTAAGAGGTCACCTTTCACGGACACCCTGCCTCGGCGATGTGGAACGATTCATTCAAGCCAGGATAATTGGCTATTTAAATTTATCTAGCTAGCCCTGGTCAAAGATACACGAAGTGGGCGAGGATTCTAAAAACAAAGATATTATGCTATAAAGGTGTCTTCTCTTTGGGGGAAAAAAAAGAGAGAGACAGAAAGCAAAAAACAGGGTCTTGCAGGCATTACGCAATGAGCAAGGTTTAGAATATCGAGAATTCGTCCGCATTGCAAACGTGTGTCCACACGGGCGTCTGCGTGTTATATCGCTCCAGGTTCCGATTTCTAGAGCAGAATATGCAGCAGTTGTCGGGAGCTGGACGGTCATGAAACAATGAACAACATTCAGCGTTGCAGCCCGCCGTGTGCAGTTTCCTGAACCTTCGGGAGAATATAATCCTTCTCTTTGGTCGTATCTATGAACCATAGCTTTTGAATTTTTATTACAACTAGACGTGCCCAGCATTTATATTTTTCTCTGCTATCTAAAGTCATGGGAAGTCTTTGGAATCCAATTGTTTTTCTCTGGAACAAAGAGCATAGCAGAGAGAATTGTAAAGAGATGTATGCGTGTTCCACACAATATGCCTTGTGATTTCTTTGCAACAGGAACCGGGCCCCCCAACTCCATCTCCCCCTAGGGGAATATGATTCGTCCAGCGGACCTGGGAACCCAGGCCACTTCCAACCAACTCTTCCTCTTCCCTTGGATTTGTTTCTTGGTGAAACTAAGAATTGCTCTGAAAAGAGTCTGCAGAATGATCCATTCTAAGTCCACGCATTCATTCATCAGGGGTGCATTCATGCGTGAAGGGAATACTGATTACCCGGGCTGTGCCAGGTATTCAGGTACACCCACCTGTACACGGGGGTAAACATTGGGTCTTGGAGTGTAATACACACATGGATGGATAAATGGATGGATGGATAGATGGATAGATTAGTGGGTAGATGGATGGATGGATGGATGAATGAATGGATGGATGGATGGATAGATGGATAGATTAATGAGTGGATGGAAAGATGGAAGATTCTCAACTTCCTGACTTATTGCCAGCCCTTTTTCTATCCTGCAGGGTGTCTGCTGGTCCCAGAGGGACAGGATGGATGGTCCTATGCAGAGAGTATGAGCTCAAACGGCGCTGTCAGCAGCCCCCGGTTCCAGCTGTGTTACCTTGGGCACACAACATAACCTCTCTGCTCCTCCGTTATCACATCTTTAAAGCAGAGTGACCTGTCGTGCCCACTTCCCTAGATTGTCATGGGTTTGTTTTTTTTTGTGAGAAAATCTGGGTCTACCTGGCACAGTGAGAGCTGAGTACATGTTGCTACAACCGAGAGAGTGAACATTAGATGTGACCCCTCAAAGGTACATGAGGACGTTGCCTTCCAGAGCCTCCCAAACAGGGTAAGTCCTTCTCCAACTGAAAACTCTGTCAACGCCTCATCTTAAATTCACATCTCTCGTAATAGGAGCCCACCACAATCCCGCATGAAACGCGAGAAGAACCGTGAACCGTTCCCACTCAAAAGCAAGTGAGGACGTCATGGGGAAGGCACGCACGGCTCCCGCAGCAGGAGATGCGGGGTCTCTGAGTCGCGCCACTCCGGGCTTGCGCCACGTGGACCACATGAGCCTCACCCACCAGCTCCCCAGCCCAACAGAAGATCCAGGACGCTGCTCCCGCACGGGCAGGGCTGGGAAGGAGTCAGCGAGGCGCCCTGCACCCTGGCCGTGACGCTGGCCTGATGGCACATCTCCTCCTTGCTCCGTGTCCCCACGGAAGCTGTGCTAAGCAGGAAAGTCTATGCCAGACTATGCCGAAAGCGGGTCGGCCTGCTTCTCCCTTATGTCTTCCCACAACATGGAGCTTTTTCGAAACGTACCAATAGCCTTGATCTTAAACATTTTTTTTTCGTCCAAACTACCCATATGGACACCAAGCATGCAACAAAAATGGCCATAATAATTCTCTCCCTTTGGACTGAAACTTTTCAGCCAGGATACTGAATAGGCTATAATCCGTGGACACAGGGGTCCCCAAAACTGAGAGTTTCTCACTGGGGCTGCTTGTGGATGGGGTCAGTCTCTGTGAACCCCCCGATAACTTGGGGCGGGGGACTCGGGTCGAAGGAAAGTGTGAATTTTCCATAGAGTCTTCGTGGGATTGTCCGAGAAACCTGTCTTCCCATTTTATCCCAATCTCACCTCTCTTTTCAAAGGGCATTCAGAGTTTTACACATGGTGCAAGGTCTTTCTCTCTCTGTGTCTCTATTCCTTCCGAAACATAACAAGGTTTTAAAGACCAGTGTAAACTGTTATCTTGCGAGCTGGCCTTCCAGGATAAACGGACAGCCGGCGACTTAATTAGACCATGCTGCACCCTGGGTTTCCGCAAGGTGCACGCTTCAAGTCGCATACAACTGTTTTTTTTTTCCTTCCTCTGATGCTGTTCCTGGGTGAACTTAGAATATTCAGAAGAACGCTGACTGGCTAAGTGACCCACACCCATCAGCTCCCCGATCTGTAAGAGATCCAGGACGCGGCTCCCTTGCTGGCAGGGACAAGAGGGATTCGATGCGGTTCAGCCCACCCTGGTGGTCAGACCGGGCTGCTCAACACGGGCCACGTCCATTAGCGTAACTGTCACAACGGCCTGACACAGCGGCACCGTACAGTTACCACCTTTGTTTTTCAAACTGGGCACTTCAGGAGGTCCCAGGGGCGAGATGCTCAGAGCTCTGTTGAGGACCACGCTCTGAGGCAGGATCGTCTGCTGGAGACGCCCTGGTCCCCCTCCCCAGAGGGTGCAGCCCACCTTCCCCCAGACCATGATAGCAGGGAACGCTGGTCGGCGTCATGGCACCGGGCGGTGTGACTCTCCACGTGCAAACCTCCCAGGGGTCTCGGGACAATGCACCCCCGAAATGTGAGGAGGGGGCTGGCTGCCTCGGGGGTCCTTCCAGACCAACGTCCAGGCCTGCAGTTTCTGACAACACCTGTCTGTCACCCCCAAGCCAGCTGCCTCTCAACCATCTCCCCGTGAGCCATCCCTCAGCCCAACATCCTGAAACCCCTTTGCCCAGGAAACACGCCCCTCCAGCCCGCCCCTGCAAACACTGTGTCCTTTAGTCCAAAGTGTTGTCACAGACGGTACCCCGGAGCCCGGATTTCCCCCGAAATCCCTTCCTTAGATTCATATTCAAGTAAGTGCGTTATACACACAATTTTTTTCCCTTTTATCCAATTAAATGAGACGTGCTTGTGAAATACGCCTTTTCCCAACTCCGTTCCTTAGTCCTTCCGAGCTGTCCAGGGCAGGGCCAAGAGACGACCCTGCGTCCGAGGGTCCGCACGCCCGCCCCCTGGGGCAGCTCCCAGGCCCGCCCCGGCCTGATGGGGCACCGAGACCCGGGGGCCCGGGCAGGAGCACACGCCGGCACCAGGGCGGGGGCCTCCCGGACCGCCCCCCACCCCGAGATACGGGGAAACCGGACCTGGCTCAGGACCACGACCTCAGCATCGCAGCTCTGGTTTAAATCCTGACCGGCTTTTGCTGTTGCTTTTTTGGCCACAGTTGTTCTCCTAGAAGTTGCAGCCTTCAGCACCCCCGCCCCCCGGACAGCACCCAAGACGCATCCGTTCTGCCGGGCCGCCCGGAGACGGGACCTTCCCGGCCCCGGCCGCCCCGTGCGCCCTCGGGGGGACAAACAGCGGGACCCGGGC